TTTGTGATTTGTGGTTTACTGGCCTAGTGTATGCTCAACATGCCTAGCATCGACTGAAAGCAAAGCGATGATGCGCCTTGACACAACATACGGACCGCCCCGATGGTGTTATGATTAATGTACGTTGGAAAATATGGACATTCTCATAAAAGATTTATTGTTTATTTAAAATGTAAGGACCTGAAACGGGCTCATGGATATAGTCCGATGAAAAGGGAAGACACTTAATTATATCTTTAACTTCAACTAGTATTTATTATAACTCGTATTCAAACTTAAAGTAAACATGAACAAATTAAACATCCAAATAATTTAAAATAGTTTTCATATAATCTTATCTATATTATTCTTTTCTCATTAATATTCTTTATTGGGGTGACGGCATGGCAGCTTGGGTAAATTATTGTCATAGGTTGTAAAAACAGCAGCATGTATGGTTATGTAAAGTTGTCCATCCATTACCGTAGCAAATAGAAGGTAATCATGCATATTGGTTTTTATAATATTTACGTCATACTTCAAACGCCTTTTGGATTGTATTTAACATAATGGATATTAGTATCCCCTTTGATGACTAAAAGATTAGTGTAAAAATACTAAGTATGATTGAAGCAATTTCTATAATTACCAATGATTCACTAATGTAACAGATTGAAGCAATAACTTAATTAAAATATATAACGTATTAGGAATAGATAAAATAAATAATTAAATACTAATAGGAAAACATACACGTTCACAGTACTGAAAAGTAGATGATTATTATAATTTTTAACTATCCATGATTTCATTACGCTATCCCTGTCTCTTCCTAACGGACCTAACTTTAAGATTTAAAAATTTGGAATTGGAGGAAGAAGAAGCCTTAAAAATCTGAAATATTATTGTTCGATACGTAGAAAAAGCGAAAAATAGTTCTACGTCGTGTTTTAACAATAATTAATATTTCGGTTGGTACTTAAAAAAAATGCGAACAAATAGAAATCAACTAAAAGTATTATACGAAAGAAAACACTCAGGTGTTTATTAACATTTTATCTATTTTGTAAATTAAAACATTACTAAATTAAAGAAGTTAAATCCTTATTATAAAAATTCAATTACAATATGTTGTGTGGATTCGGGAGATAAGTTACTAAACGATCCATGTGTCATTTCTAAACGGACTCAACTCACATCAAAAAGTCATAACAAACACCTAACCTTAACCTAACTTTATAAAAGTTGTGTACTATTTTATAAAAAGATCTCCGTTTTTTATATAACTCTATTACTAGATTATAAATAATAATGAGGGACGTATATATATCGCACTGTGAGAAAGATTTTTTACAAAAAATTGTTACCGGGGGTCGCGTAAGTGTAATTATATCGCGACTGTCTTTCTCTGAATTTAATAATTGTTATAGATTCCGTTCTGATTTCAGCGATTAGATGGCAGAAATTACAATGAGAGTCGTAAATTAAATATATCTTTTGGTTCTGAGTATGGAAGTTGTATAGTTTCCTTGGGAGAAACTAAGTAAGTTTTTTCTCATATACTTAATCAACAGCACAAAATTATAGGGTAAAATGATTAGTAATAGTTATAATTTCATTGCAGAGTATTGTCTCAGGTGTCGTGTGAAGTTGTTCAGCCAAAACAAATTAGGCCAAATGAGGGAATTTTGTTTATAAATGTTGAAATAACGCCAATTGCAGGCCAGCAGTTTGAAGCAAATCGTCAGACAGATCTTACTGTGTATTTGAACAGACTTTTGGAAAAATGTTACAAAGACTCTAAATGCATTGATCTCGAGTCCTTGTGTATTGTTGTTGAAGAAAAGGTGCTTTTATATGTTTATCTATTACAATGTATTATCCTTTTGATTTAAAATTAATAAACCAAATATTGAAATCAAGAATTACATTAGTAATCTTGCAAATTTAGACACTAGTTAAGTTATAGAATTTAATTTAACATACATATATTCCTTTAAGAACTATTAAATTTATAGTTCAGTTCGATATTGTTTTACTAGATTTATTTTACTAATCTAAATATCAAATTACTTTTCAACACAATTTTAATATATGTAGTGAAAACTTTGTACTTGTTATTAAAGGAAATAAAGCATACAAATCAACACAAATTTTGCTAAAGATTACAATTAACCAATGGGTGACCGTTAATATCTTAAATATTTAATATTCTACAGGTATGGTCGCTAAGGGTGGACTTAAAAGTACTAAATCATGAAGGCAACCTCATAGAATGTGCAAGTATTGCTACATTAACCTCACTGGCACATTTCAAAAGGCCAGATGTGACTCGCAGCGGTGACAAAGTGATCATACACACACTTGCAGAGAAGGACCCGATACCAACTGTACTTTACCACTATCCTGTGTGTCTGACATTTGCTATATTCAATGAGTAAGTATTTAGTAACAGCTTGTGCCAGGGGTAGCCAACTTGATTAAACCCAGGATCTTCTGTACACTGACCTATGTAATCTACAAATTGCATACTTGGAATGTTAAATAAAAGAACATAGTTCTATTTATAGTTGTATTGAATGGTTGGCCACCCCTGACCTATACATCTTATCTAATTTTATCTAATATTGCTAATTTAAATGTATACTATTGCAGCTTTCTTAAAGAAAATTAAAGTAGGTTAATGATGAGTGTTATACCAATGGAATAAATAAATCTGCTACATACTTTATTTTTCAGTCTTCTATTATCCGACCCCGATTTCCTAGAGGAGTCAGTATGCATGAGTAACATGGATGAGGGTGGCAACAGAGGTGGTATCCTTGTTGTTGGCATGAACCAATACAAAGAGTTATGTTTGCTAGACCTGACAGGAGCGGCTATTGATAACTCTAATATTGTGCATAGAGCTTTGTTAGTTGCCGCTGATCGATGTAAGGAGCTTGTAGATTTGGTGAAAACTACTATTGTCGATGATGATACAGCCAGGTAAAAAACTTTAATTTTCTTTTTAAAGTAATTCTAATAAAAATACCAGACTTAATTTTTATGAAATCCTTTATGTCATTATTACCAGCTCTCTATATGTCCCTACTGAGAGGCTTGCAGTTTAACCTACGTTAGTAGGGGTGACATGTCATGTCGAAATCGGCTCAGCCGTTTCGGAGATTACCCGGAGCAAACATGGCTTGCGGACAGACAGACAAAGAATTTTTAAATGCGATTTTCGTTATCAACAACGCAAATACAACATCTTCACCGCAAACACAGACACTCCAATTTTATTAAATGTATAGATTACTTTAGAAATTCAAAATAAATGGAATTCAGTTAATATCTCTAATGGGTTAATGTATGGATACTGAGTGTTTGATTTTGCTTAAACTATGATTATGACTGGATTTAAAGATTTGTTTATATTTCAGACAGAAAAGAGTAAAGAAAAACTTCTCAGATATTATAACAACTGAGCATATGCTGTCATTGAATAAAAAGGACTTGAGCATTCGTCTTAAAAACTATAGTGTTGAAGACATTCAGAGACCATGCGATGAGGAAATGGAGGAAGGTGATGTAAAACCAGAACCAAGCAAATATGATGGTAAGTTCTATATTCCGAACTCAATAGTAGATCTTAATCCTGTTTACTTTTGCATTGAATTAGGAATTTTAATTTATTAGCTGTATGAAATCAAAAAGGGATTGATGACTAAGATGACGTTTGAGTTATGTGGAGAATAAAAATCTGTTGCGCCGACCCTACGGGAGTAGGATAAGGAGAAAGATGATGATGATGATGATGATTACCTGTATGAGATCATTGATTCAATATTTTTCAAATAGTAATATTAATAAACCCAAAATGATCCAAATTTAAACAATTCAATTTTCAAGTCAACCAAAAATCAATTTTAATAGAAGGGATCTTCCTTTAATTTTAAATTACTGTTTACTTTTCATTCAAAATGTTCATACCTCTCATTCATAATAAAATCTAATGGAATCAATGTTCAGGTGTATTCAATCTGTTATTAGGTAAATTACTAATTAATAAAAGAATGTGACATGTACAAGGAGAATGTTAGTTATGATTGTTGAAGGGTACACCGGTAGAGGTAGACCTAGAAAGAGATGGATGTATTGCGTGAAAGGTGACATGATCAAAAAGGGAGTGATGACTGAGATGACATATGATAGTTATTTGGAGGACAAAAACCTGTTGTGCCGACCCTACAGGAGTAGGATAAGGAGGATGATGATGAATAATTAATAAAAGAAAATTAATTATTAATTAATTTCTCTTCCAGTAGTATCTTCATTACCTGAGACAGCTGAAATTGTTGCTGAAGTTGTGGGGACAGCATGGATAGAAATATCATCAGGAGAGGAAGATTAAACACATTTGTTTGTTAAATAAAATGTAATAATAATTACATTTTAGTTTTTAATTATGTCTTAACACTATAAAATTTCTTCATATTAACATTGCATTATTCTAATCAATTTACATTGTAACATTGTGAATATTGAAGTTTCAGTCTAATTAAACTATATGGAAATTAAATTTGAAAGACATTTTATCTATCCATTGAAAAGAGTTACATCCTTTATATCCCTTAACAGAGGTAATTTTTCTTTAGATGACTCGATTTGTGATTATGTTCAAACAAAAGTTTAAAAATAACACATTTATTTACAATATAGATGTATACAGTGCGCAATTTCATGAAAAACCACAAAAAGTATGGTCTTTTACATGCAAAAAAATTGATTAATAAAATACATTTACAAAAAAACATTACATGTGTAATTTATGTCTTAATTTTATTTCAATTTCATTTAAATCATAAATATAATGTTATTTATTTTTTATCATGATATAAACAGGGTGATCTGCTTGTATACATATTTGGATACAACTTTTCAACTATTCTAAAATGTCCATTGAAATGAGTGGAAGATAAACATACTACAGCTATAGTTAAAAAATAATAGTTCATTTACACACACATTTACACTGAATCTAAATTTATTCCATTCTTCTGATTCAATTTATTACCATTTGTTTTCACCATATAAATAAAATAAGTCATTATCTCTTTCTCATTGACGGGGAGTGATTTGAAGTGTTTCTGGATAGCCTGTAATAAAAAAAGCATTAGAAATAAGTTTCTAAATGTCATTATTAATGGTACTTTCAAAATGTTCATGAATTAAATTACTCCCAAAGGATACTGGCTTTACTTACTGGCTGGATATTGTGGCTTTATATAAAAAACTAACTGTTGCCCATGACATCTGGGAATTAAAAAAACTGAGTAGCCAATGAGTTCTTACAGACTATGTACCACATCTATGCCAAATTTCACTGAGAACCATTGAGCTGTTATGGGAGATACATAGTAAGAAAAATCCATCCATCTAGACTTCACATTTATAATATTAGTAAGAGACTTACATCAGCTAATTGCACTTTATTTATCCCTGGCCTTGTTGGGACCTTGTAATGTCTTTTGTACCGCCTCAATGTATTTACTTGCAGATGATACCAGTCAATCTCTGGATAATCCATCTCTGCCTCATTGCTATCGTCTTCAGAGTCTTTAGGCCTCCTTTGTTTTGTTCTTGCACATTGTATCATGTTTTTGTGAAAATCGCAGATATAAGTATGCCTTGCCTGAAAATTACAAGTACAATTTATGGTAATTGCAAACAAATAATCGCTTTAAGTCTATGTAGAAGTTTTTTTTGTTATAGATCTGCCTACATCTTATTTATTGTACTGTTTGTTACACCATTGTCTACTTAAGCCAAAGTATCATACTAAATAATAACTTCTCGGTCATTTAAAGAATAGAATAATAAATGTAAGATTAATAAAAACTGCATATTGAAATGTTTCCTACCTTTGATAGTATGATTCTAACAAGTAATTTATAAGTTATATTATTAAAAATAAAGTTATTTAATAGTTACATGAAATACTTACTTGATGATCAATGTTGAGTTTAAGCCTTCTCTGAGCCACTGTCTTTTGTACGCGCTTGCTATACGAGGCGTTGCCAGCGGGTCGCCTACAGCGATCCCCGTCATCCACAAGGCAACATATTTGATCAGAATTGCCTCTAGAGTCTTCCTCTCCTGTACTAAACCCGTTGTTCATTTGATACTCGCGTTGAATCATATATAACAGATAGATTAAACTTCCTCAGCAGACCTCGCACTTGGCGACGATAAACAGACGACGTATTCACAAAGCCCCGCAACGATTGAGGTTATGGAACGTAATAACACTGATCATTTTCACCAAATTATACAATTAATAACACACTAACCGAGTCCGGTCGATAAAGTTTCACACTGTATTCATCAAATAATATTCAAAACAGTAATCATTGCACATTAGCCAAATTAAAAGTCTATTGGTATTCACAGTAGTCCACTAACGAGAGTACTTTGTACGTGTTTAACGTTTCCTTTTTTTCACTCACAATTAAGATTCCCTTCAAATATAACTTATAGAAACAGTACAACGATGAAATCTGTATTACTTCCAATATAAAGTTACATTTATATTTCACCGATCGCCATTCGAGTAGACGTCCCGTCACCTTACTCAACGTCAATGTTGTACTGTGGTATTGTGGTAGTTGGTAGCACACTTGCAAACGAGTGTAACATACAAACGTGAAGTCTTTCAACTACGCTTTCGTAAAAACACTGCATGTTGTGAATGATTGTGTGCGTGTTCAGGGATGCAATGTGTAGGACATCGTAGCTATAGTTAAGTATAAACAAAAAATAAAGCGATCTCAAAGTCATCGATTGGTTGCCCAGTGGCGGGACATTCAACGTGAGCCAATCAGAAAATCTCTCCACTGACATCGTCCGCTCATGTATTCATTACGATTACGGCGAACAAACGCGAAGTTCCTACGTAATAAGCGCTGAAATCGTGTGCTCGATAGCAATAAATAATACTCGGTGAGTTTTATTCTTCCCTCTAAATAATTGCAATCCAGAGTTATTTGGTTTAAAATAAAGAGTGGAGACATGGTTGATGTAACGAGACAAGTGTTTTGTTCAAAGCGATATTTATAGTTTTCAATCTAATTTTGTAAGCAAATGGCTGCCGAGTTTCGAAGCTAAGTGACATAAAATAATACAAATTGGTAGTAGGTAAGTAGAGCAATATATTATAATGGGAGTCTGTATAAATTGCTTTTCATAGTGCGTCGTATTACAATTAAACACCCAATTTTTTTCTGTCTGTCAACAAATTTCTAATGAGTGTTACAATCACAAACCTTACATGATAATAGAAAATTTTATCGCAAATGTTGTGGTTATATTTTGTCACCGATTTACATTTTAACAAGTATACAACTAAAATTATTATTTTATGTTTAGTTATGTTAAGGTTAATTAAAAATTATGCTTTTTTTGTTATTTCACGTATCGGCGCTAAAATGTTTACCCAAAGTATAACTCATGCAATGTTATTATTTTGTAAAGTTGCTTATTACTTTTTTAAAGATTTTCCATGCGCCATTATTATGTAGGAATTAGGTTATGCAATGTTTATTTCCTGCCTAAATTAGTTTTTAATAGTGATAGGTGTGTAGATCAGAAAGGTTTATTAGTTTAGTCAACTGCTTTAGATATTGTGGTGTAAATGAAGTTAAGTAAGTTTTTGCGCTAAATAATCTGTCAAATATGACAATAACGATAGAAATGACTGAAGTTGGTTTATATTTAATTTAAACACAATCCACTAGCCGAATTCTTCCGCGTGTAATTGAAAAAATCTAGTAATAAAAATAGGGTTTTTTTATTCTGTGATAATGTGGCTTTTTGGTGGCAAAAGAATTTATGAATACGTCCAGTAGTTTTTGAATTTAGTCGTTACATACAAAAATAAAAATCTTTCCTCTTTAAAATATTAGCATAGATGTGGATGAAGTTTAATACAATTTCTATTTGTAAATTACATTGAGCATATTTGTGGCCTCTTACTGCTACTTTTAGTTTTTATTTTCAATTTACGTTATTGTAAATAACGCCATTAACGTTAAATTTAGTACAAAATAATCTATACGACATACTAATTTGCAACTAAGATTAAAGTCATAGTTTGTGCTGGCGGTTGCCCGCGACTTAGCAGAATGAAAAGAAAATACCCTATAATATGCCCATGTATATTCTTCTTCCAGTAAAAATCAGTGAAAACCAGTAGAATTGTTCGGGAGATTACCCAGAACAAACGCGACCTTGTAGAGACAGACAGACAAAAATTTGAACACATTGGATTTCCGACAAAATTTCGCCAAATAAGTTATTTTTCTCGCTATTATAGACAAACCAATTTTATGACATGTATAGATGGGTTAAAGGAATGTTAATAGAAAATATTGAAAGAATATGGGTGTTGAAGAACTCAAAGAAAAAAGGCAAATCCTTCCACCACTAATACGAATGTTGTTCTAATTGGACATTTAGAGGTGTTGACACCGGTACCTTAAAGCGTTAAAGACGCTCTTAACAAAAACTATAATGAATAACTTGGTTATGCTTGCGTAAGCATGTCATCTAGCTCTTAAGAAGCTCCTTTTAGTCCTTGCTAACCAAATACTACCTAAAACAGACAAGAAAGTTTAAAAATAAGAACTGCAAGAATTTTCCTTCTAAATCTAAACCACTACTATTATAATTGAACTTTTGTTCACGTCGAACCGACAGTACAACCATTATGATAGGCATAGGCATATATGTACAAGCACAAAACGCTCATGAATACAGAAATATTTTGTTAATAGCAGAAGACGAAAACCATATGTCTCAGCGAAAAACAGCTCGACTAGAGATTTCAGCATGCCTTTTAGAGATGAACAACAAAAGCATAGAAATAGTTCTGAAAGTCATGGAAATGTAACTGGAAGTGTTTTAGACAGAACATTAGATATTTCTATATAACAAAACTTGGTCGAGTACCAAGTTTTCTTTTCGTGAAAATGAAATGATACCATTTCCAGGTTTAAAATTCGTTTTAACACTACGTTTAATAATAGACACGAAACAAAGCGTGTGTCATGCGCTTTTATACAACGAGTTAATATCCCAACATTTTAGATTTTATCCTTTGTAGGTTTTTGCAATTTTCTTTTTACTTTTTGACCTTATATAGAAAAGGGGAATTCAATAGAAGTATTTCTTATGTTGTAGATTTGGTTGAATTTATGTTCGTGATGTCAGCAATCAGAACAATACACCCGTCATTGACTTAGTGTTTCGATCATGTTTTCGGTGAGTTCAATTTTTGAATTTAATACGGGCTATGAGATGCCACATGGGTTTTGCATGGCTACTATGTACCGTAAATATTTAACTGTCTTCCCACGATGAAACTAACGAAGTCAGGGATGTTACCTTTGGTAACAAATGCCCAAATATCTGGATGAATACACTCTTATCTCTGATTGATTCAATAAGATTGAGAGGTTTATAGTCTTGTCTTTTGGATTGCATTGCCGTATATAGTTACATACTGGCATATTGACATTGCAACGACAGCATCAAATACCACTGCGCCACCCATGTGTCATCTCTTAATGTTTTGAGGTCTAGCAATTTAACATGCTTGGAGCTTAACCTGCAGGTGTAGGAGATATAATTAGCTATTTTATACGATCCTAATACATTTCTCTCGCTTCTTAATTCATCATCTTGGTAAGGCCCATCTGTCAACATTTACGCGAGATTTTCAGATCCATAGTTGGTTACTCTATCAAAATCATGTTAGTAAATAATTAAGGATATCTAGACTACATTTTTTATGAAGTGATGTCCTGACCAATGTCCTAACTAAGTTTAGTCCTAAAAGTTCGCAGCTTCTAACACTTAAAAGCAAACCATTGTTCTACTTTCAAAAACTCCAAATTAGGGAAAATTTTCCCGTCGTGATTGATTTATTCACGAATATAATTTGACCTTGTCCTGTATTAACCCTTTAATCTCTTCTCCAACGTTCCTGTTATGTTTTCAATGTTTCTTTTTTGCTTTTATTGATGTGTGTTTTATGATTTAATGTCAAATTAAACATGTTTATCTTCATCCTTTCCGCTTGAATAACATGTATCGTACGCACTTGGGTGTAATCAACTAATTGTGATTTTTGCTACTATTTTACGTAAAATTTTTTAATGCTAATGAAAATTAAAAATAAGCTTATCGATTTCTTGATGGGAAGTGTATATTTTTTAAATTTATATTCGTATGTCAATAAAAACTCTAATTAGTATTAAAACACTTTGTGTGTATGCAAGAAAATGTTAAAATGGGAAGTAAAAAAGATATCCTTGAAACTACTTGAGCTATATTAGTCATTAATTTGATCGTCTCAGAAGCGAGACAAAGCACTTAAGCCAGTAGCTGTATATGTACCTAGGTTCATTCTAGTATTGTAAATGTACAAGGTATTGTTAAATATTTAAATTTTTGTTTCAAACGAAAGTGTTATTGAATCTGAAACATTTTTTACTTGAAACAAACAAAAGAATTTGGTTAGGAACTCGGATTGCCGTGGCTGCGCTAATCGCCTTATTGACCGGTCGCCGGCTTGTGCTCGCCGGACGGGAATGTTGCCAGTTCGTGCGATGTCGGAGGCGCTCGGCTACGTTCCGCCGCAGTCCGCTGCGCGTTGGGGGCGCCACCGAGCGCTTGTTTAGCGTCTAGCGTGCGGCGTTGCCAACTGTATTGACTTTAAGCACGAACCAAGACAAAACGTACGCGCGTGGTGTTAAACTTACAGCCGGCAGCTTTTTCATAAAACAAATTGTAAATTCGTGTGAATTTGTGTATTCGACCGATTAACAACAAGTCGAAAATGTTACGGCAAAGATAGCTATATAGAGTCTTTGTGATGAGATCTTAGTCTGTGCGCTAGTGCAAGTGTTTTATGTGAAAAACATATTCGTTATTAATGTAACGTTAATCGATTTTGTGTAGAGGAGAAAGGGATATGAATTTAACGAGTGTCGCTCGAGATATAATATAGAGTAGTCGAAGCGGCATAAAGAAAACTGGTTAGCCGAAAGCGGTGATCGTGATATGGGGGAACGGGGCGCGACGGGGGGCGCTTGGGGTGCGCGCGACGATGCCTCGTGGTGGCCGGGCGGCTCGGGCGAGCTGCAACACCAACAGCAAATAAACGAGGAGATAGCCCGCAGTACGGCCGCCGCCACCCACCAGCTCTACACTTACAAAATGACAGGTGGCTTCAACAACAGCGGGGACAATCCGACGCCCAGCTTTGACTACCGTCTTATGACCGGCTCCAATGCCAGACAAGAGTCTCCGCAGCAGCCCTGGTGGTATGCCTCGGGCTCCGTGGAGGCTCAGCAAGCTTCCTCATCGGTATGGTTGTCAATCATATAAATTGTATGAATATAAGAAAAACAACAATTAAATTGATTAAACTAAAGAAACAAATAATTTAACAAGTGGTAACAACCTATATTATTTATTTTTCTTGTTTTAAAAGTCGAATCTGAAACAAAACTAAAAGTCATCACAGATTTAAATAAATGTACTAAATTCATTGAGACAAGTTTCCGTAGTCTGCGATGACAACTATCAATGATTTCTTCAAATAATCATATAGTCAATGCGCGCCAAACCACCATATACCTATGTCAGGTTTATTTATGCACTTTGCACCTGTTTCTTTTTCACGAAAATCTTCTAAATCTAAAAAAAGTAAAGGTCCTGATACGAAACACATTCGATAAAATCTACAACAATGAAAATGTTAAATATATTTACTTTCAAACTGTTAATTCGTGTAAGCAATAGATGATGTTATTGAGAAACATTATTATTCATGCCACAGGGATACACTTTGTATGTGATATGTGAATTGAAGGTAATTAGCGAGTTGGAAAAACAAAAAATTGGAAACTGTAAGGAGCTATTTCGCGGCAATGACGTAGATTCTTTTACGAAAGAAATATCTTTAAAACTCTGCGAAAAATTATAACAAACTAATTTATTTACTAACTAAGAAAAATCTCAGTATCGAATAAATTGCATAAATCGTTGAGATCGAGGTGCCAGGATATGATTCATATTGAGCCTTGTAAAGGTTAATGTCGGCATTGAAAGAATAATTTAACATTAGAATGTTTAAACGTTTGCAAACACGAATTTAAAGGAAACGCCACTATAGCCTTTGAAAACTGATCATACTTCATACTAATATTATAAATGCGAAAGTTTAGATGGATGGATGTTTGTTTGTCAGAGTTTGTAGCTAAAACAGCTGAACGGATTTCGATGAAATTTGAGATGTAGATGATAGTCTGGAAGAACACGTAGGCTACTTACTTTTGTTTTTTCTTTATTCCACGCGGATGGAGTCGCGGACAAAAGCTAGTGATTCTATAAATGCATGTGATTTATTATTTCTTTCAGTCAATTGTACATAGAGTTAATCGATCGAATTTAGGGTCATAGACTCATGAAATTACTAATCGCTAGTGCTGTTATATCTAGACTATCGTAAGAATAAGTTATCAAAAAATCTCATGTTTTATGGGTAATTCGATTAACGAGTCAACAATCTCCGATGAAGCCAGAAAACGGATTTCTATAATAACCGATGGGCATAGACGAATATTAAAACAATGCTTGTCTCGACACTGGTATAAAAACAAATAAGAGTCCCTTACCTGGGACTTTGACATTAAATTTCCTTGGCAGCTTAACCGAAATGAAATAAAAAAGTTTGAATTTACTTTTACAAAGTTCAACAAAGCAGGTGGCTGAGTTCATTTACGATATCGTTCTTTTATATACAAAGTGAAATGTAGAATTTTGTTAGCAGCTGCTGACTAATTAGGAAAGCTGATTAACGGTTTTATTGGTTAGTAAATATAACTTTAGTAGGAAATTCATTTATCACGTCTTAGGCAAACTTTGAAAAAGTTAACTTGTGGCTGACATTGGAACAAAACTTGTCAAGCTCTAATCAATGGATTATTTAACTAAAATACTGATGAATGTGAAAAAACATTTACTATGTAACGAACACCTTAAATATTTTTATTTTTAACTAGTTGTTCCCGTGCGATTTCATCAGCATAAAATTATTTTATTGTTTGCATGTGTCACATTGTCGATTGCAAATGTCAAAATGAAATGAGATGACAAAACTTGCTACCTTGATGTTGGCAGCAACTTATGGTCTCTTTCCTACATTAGGTTTCTTTTATCCAAAATATTTACCCCCTAAGTTTAATGGCGTAAAAATATATAGCCTAAAGCGTGACGTAAGTCTAGGGCTTTCTATAAAAAAAAGAATTATTCAAAAATATGTTGTAATTGCTGTAATCTTAGGCAACAAAGAAGTGTGTGTTTACGCTTTATTATAATAGTATAGATTATTTGTCCGTAAAAGAGGACAAAGCGAGGTATCAATGAGTAGGTAAACCAAGAACTGTTATACCGTAGTTCTTGAACAAAGATTTTGATACAAAAATATATGTAAACAAGTTAATATACTATTTAAAAATAACTATGCTCTAAAAATCCTGATTTATACATTACCAATATACAAGTTGAAAGTAAAACCGGTATGCACTTAAGGCACAACAGCAACAAAAAAAAACAACGTAGACGGCGGACGATACCCCTAGTTAAAAGGAAAAGTACAGGTTTTGAATTTTGTTACAAAAAAGTTTTAAAAATCTGATCACATACCTCAACTGAACTGGACAAAAAAGATTTCCTTTTCAGTCGTCGATTACATAGAAAAATGACTTTTTCAAAATTTTCGGAAATTATAATATTACTAAAGGCAGCCTACTGTTAATAATATTTTTTATGGATAAAAGAAACTAAGAAATTAAACGTGAAGCTGCACTAAGCTAAAAATATTATTAACAGTAGGCTCTAGTAGGTTTTAACAATAATATAGTTTTTCGAAAATTTTGAGAAATGTAATCTTTCTAACTAATCGACGATATATCGATAAGAGTACCAAATGTTCATATTACCGTCTTTTCGTCAAATGTAAACATGCTTGATACATTTTTATCAGTCGTCGGCTGAAAAACTTTGCATAGAAACTAATTAAGTTATACTAAAGTGTAAAGTGTACACACGCTCGCTGAGAACGTACTGCGATGCAGACCAAATAAACCATATTGTAGGAAGTAAAACGACAAATCTAATCTTATTATTAAAAAATAAAATAATCCATAAATATTCTCCTTATTGTAGACTGTAATTGAAATGTCTCGGTAAATTGGCTCCATTTTACTGATGACAACATCCATAAAAAAAAAAAATTGGTCATGACGCACAAAATAAGTCTAACACAATGTTTTTTTTTTATTTGAAATTATTACTAGATATTTGTTAAACTACTAATATTTCCATTAACCATTCCAACTAAGCTCTATGCTTGTGCTAGGATATGGTTCACAAGAGTCGAATGGCGAGATTCGAACCCTCGACCGCAATATCGGTAGTCCGTAGCCCAAAACATTAGGCTATTGACGCTTACTACTGTAGCAGAAATTAAAATTTTACTGTAATTAGGAAAAGCCTTCCAGTTTAGAAATAATCTTCATCTTGATAATAACAACGTTGAAAAAAATAACTATCGATAAAATTTGCATATCATGAAGGGATATCTAGCAACGATTGCCTAATTCACATTGTAATAAGTTTTCAGTTCGAACATTATAAGAACTCATAATTAGTATAATAAAATTCAAGGTCGTTTGTATGGAAACTTAATGCTCATAATATTTATTTCTGTGCTTGTCCTTGGACTCGCGTCGAGGTGATTCATAGAGGCGGGCTTTTACTTCGAGTTCGAAAATCGATAATACTAACGATTTTACATTGCTATATATAAATTACGATACATACATATTTAAAGACTTAATTTAACTGAACAAAATGTGAATATGGTAATACTTTCATTGGCTGAGATATCAAATTTCAATAAAACAGATACCCGTTATAACGATACGAATAAAGATTAAATAATGTATTCAAAATAACGACAAAACAATGTTTAGACGGGGCATTAAAAATACACGATATAATAGAACTGGATATACCCTAAACGTCATTGTAAGCAACATGAGATTCTTGTTATTATTTTGAAAAATTGTTGATTTACTGGTAAAAAATAAATATAATAATTGTATCTCAAGGCAAGCTAATTTCGTGCGTTTCGTCATCAAATCAACACATAATCCAATACTTGTCTAATTAATCGTAGAACAAGATTATTTTAATTGAGTGGTTATTATCATAATTTATATTACTACTAAGATTTCGACTTAACTACTTAACCATGTTATAAAAGATATTATTCACGCTACTGAAAGTTTCTACACAATTAAAAATTAATTACGGAAATTAAAATTCAGAAAAGTTATTATTTTTGTTAGCAACATTCAAACAAGACTGACTGAAGAACATATGACACCATATTATATCGATTTACGGAAAGTAGTTAGTCTGCGCTCAGCGGCGAATACAATCCTTTTCTATAAATTCGAATAATTCAATCTATTAAACGGAGAATTCGTTATTTATTGTCAAAAAAAATTAGGTTCATCTAAATGTCAATTTTTAGGCATCGGTGTCTACGGGGTACTGGTTTTATGCACATTATTACATTTGGCATTGATTACCATATCTCACTCGCTTTACATATTACAGACCTTTATTGCAAATAACCAAAAATGTCATCTTTAACTTTAAATAAAACAACTCAAAGTAATATTTTATGTTTATTTCAGCCTCAAAACCAATCGAGTCCGGACCCAGAGCAGGGAAATCAACAATCCAACGGTCTACAACAAAACCATCAGACGTTACAACAGCAACAACAACAGCAACATCAGCAGGAGCAACAAAACCAAGCTATCCAACAACAGCAGCAGAACCAGTTACAGCAACAGCAACAAACTCTACAACAGGCGCTGCAACAACAAACACAGACGCTGCAACAAACTTTGCAGCGGCAACAAAATCAACAGACCCTGCAGCAGATGCTGCAAGAGCAACAACAACAACAACAACAGCAGCAGCAACAACAGCATCAAAATATCCACCCGCAGGACCAGCAAAATGTCCAACAGAGCTTACAGCAGCTACACGTGAGCCAGGCGCACGTGACTGCGCTCGCGCAGGCGCAGGCCGCGCTGCAGCAGCAAGTCGTACAGTCGTTCCAGCAGCAACAGCAGAACCTTCACGACCACCTGCAGGCTGTGCAGCAACAGCAGCAAATACAGGCAGCGCTGCAGCGACAGTCCGCCACATTACAGGTCTCTACTCTTCTTTGTAATCACAACGCATGTTAGACATTTAGCAACATTTAATTCGCATTTTGATGAATCTTTTTTTATAATTTATGACCCAACGCTTGACCACGATTACACCTAAAATCTTATCCATCTCTTAAAACAGACTTGCTTGCGCCGGTTTTTTTATCAATTTAACTACATTTCTCAATACATTTACACCTTCAGAACTATATTTACATGATAGTGTTAAGTTTAAGTCAGTGTGTCAGGAAATGATTAAGTTTGTTGGCAACCGAGCAAACGCCTGAATCCGCTGAAATTGCGAAGCGACCGCTGCCCATAGTCATCCGCAATTGCAGTTGTGTTACCTATAAATTGGATAGCATGAGGGGGCGTTAAGTAATCAGAGAGTTTTTACAGGAGTTACAGCAACAAGCTCAACAACAGCAGGCGCTCGGCCAGACGAAGACGAGGATGCCGCGCGCCCGCGCATACAACAAGCCGCGTGGCAGGATGACCGCGTACGCATTCTTCGTCCAGACCTGCAGGGAGGAGCACAAGAAGAAGCATCCAGAAGAGAACGTCATATTCGCAGCGTTCTCGAAGAAGTGCGCGGAAAGGTGGAATGTAAGTATTCTTCCATACATTACATAGATACTACATCATACCTCGTGTCGACTTTGACAAAATGCAATTTAGCTTCCGTATGTCAGTTTTTGTGTTTAAAACAGATTCGTCTTTCCTACCTTATTCTACTGCCGTAGCGGCGCAACAGGGTTTTGTCCTCCAAATAACTATCTCAGTTATCACTTCCTTTTCGATCATGTCACCTTTCATGCAATCCATCCATCTTTTTCTACGTCTACCTCTACCGGTATACCTCCACACTCCTAACTAACGTCCTTGTTCATCTCATGCTAAACTTTTAGTCGTAATTTCTCTACCACTAGGGTTTCTCTCAAACCTCCTCTAATAAACTCATTTCGTATATTATCCTTGAATCCAGTATATCAAGAAAACGTTTGTAAATGCCATTGTGTATGCAATTCCATAGACAATGTCAAAGAAGGAGAAACAGAGGTTCCACGACATGGCGGACCAGGACAAGCAGCGCTACGACCTGGAGATGCAGAGCTACGTGCCGCCGAAGGACGTGAAGGTGCGCGGCCGCAAGCGACACCAGCCCAAGGACCCCAACGCGCCCAAGCGCTCGCTGTGAGTCACGGTCTCGACGCATTTTAGCAACATTACACATTCTTATCGCTAAAACTGTTGCTCGCGATTTCGTTCCCGTGTATAATAAAGCCTATGTTACTCACTGATAACGTAGTAATTAAAAATAATGGTGAAAGAATTTATGAAATTGACCCAGTAGTTTTTGAGTTATTTCAATATTTACAAAAATGGAAATCTTTCCTCTTTATATAATTAGTATAAAAAAACTTATAACAATACACTTTTTAATACAGTCTAGTATTTAGGTAGAATGGATATATGAGCTACTTCTATGGTAATATTATAAAGATTTGTATATTTGTATATATTGAAAAAACGCAAAAACTACTGGGTCGTTTTAACATTATTTCACCATTAAAAAGCTACGTTATCACTAACATGTCACATTTGTTTAATATTTTTTTAATGATACGCGGACCAAGTCATGAGCAACAGCTAGTACTATAAAACTACGTATGCGTATAGTATAAATAAAATGTATTCTGGCAACTAACCAATTCATATTAGAACTCAACAGGGAATTAATGATACTTTAAAGATTTGATAGCAATTTGTATCTAAACTTTTAGTCATCAGTAAACAAAGACATAAGAAATATCTAAACTAGACATAGGGAACATTTTTTCACCGGTAACTTCTTTTTATGGTAATGTCTTTGTCCTTCTCAGAGATTGAATTATTTTAATTACTAGCTATCGTCCGCGTGTAATAAAAAAAAACTAAGTAGCACACAGTTGTTCCAGACTATCATTTATATCTACGCTAAATTTCATCGAGATCCGTTCAGCAGTTTAGGCTATAAACAAACATCCATCCATCCATCTAAATTTTCGCATTTGTAATATTAATAAGATTAGTTTCAAGTAATGGGTCTATTATAGTCTATTATAGGTATATTTCTATCTCTCTCTATATATATTTGAAACTCATTAATAAACCTTTTGAAACAGGGTTGCAATATATAAATGTATATTTACTTGTCAGGTCTGCGTTCTTCTGGTTCTGTAACGAGGAACGGTCGAAGGTGAAGGCCAAGCACCCTGACTACACGATGGGTGACATCGCCAAGGAGCTGGGCCGGCGCTGGGCCGCTGCCGACCCCGATACCAAGGGCAAGTATGATGCGCTCTCGGAACAGGACAAGGCCAGATATGACAGGGTGAGTCGCCTCCTCCATTTTGACTATTACTTACACCAAAGGTGACATCCAAAAACGTAGTTGGCTCTTATGTTCCTACAATATATTCGAGATGTCTTCCAATCAATAACAGTCAATTTAGTATGTTTTTTTTTAGTTTTGTAGATTATTACTATATCTCTTTTTTGTTTTATTTATACTTCTATACTAATATTGTAAAGAGATATAGTATTTTTGTATGTATTGAAATACTCAAAAACTACTGGGACAACTTCGAAAATTCTTTTACAGAAAAATACATATCTTATCAGTGAGTAACAGGCTATGTTTTCTATTATTTTTTAATTTCACGCGGACGAAATCATGAGAATCACCTAGCCTATACTAATATTATAAAGAGGATTATTTTTGCCTGTATTGAAGTAACTCAAAAACTACTGGGACAACTTCACAAATCTTCACAAATTAATAGCTACGTTATCATTGAGTAACATAGACTAAATGTATTAGGGAATTTATTAATTATTATTTTAAAATTGTATAATGTATTGTAGGAAATGACAGCTTACAAGAAGACGTTAGAGCAAGCGCAGTCGCAGCCGGAGACACACGACGAGGTCGACGAATATGAACACGAAGAAGAGTACAAGTGTTAATGCCATAAAATAACTAAATACAACGCATTTTATAAGTAAATGCAAAAAAAAAATATGTTTCACACAAGCATTGATTACAGGCGTTTCTTTGGTATAGATGTTTTCAAATATTTTGTCGGCTCAATTTTGTTGCTGACCTTGAGATGACATTGAAGAAGTTTGCGTAGTAAAAAAATGTGTTTTTTCCCGTGCAGTTAAAACGCACGCTACCTGTGTAACTTTTGAGTATTATAATTTCACTAAATATCTTATTTCAGCGGTTTTATAGGTTTTTTTTAAGTTCCAGTGGTAATTACGGTTGTGAAACTCTTACCATTATTGTTTTGCATGTCATTATGCAATTTATTGTATTACTGAGTACTTTTATCTTAAATTACCATCCATTTTCAGGAGTATTTATTTGAAAAAGTACTTAAATTTTAAGTCTGTATGAGATTTTTTCATTTTTTTTGTAACAGTTAAACTGAAGCTTGTATAGCTCAGTGAAGATTTTTTTATATTAATCTATATAAACACATAATTTAAACATTTGATCGATCCTGACTTAAATAAAAGGATGTAAAAATATTTCAATTTTATTCTTTTACGATATTCTAATTTTCTAAATTAACAAAATAAGAATTTTGTTAATTTTTTTAGAAATTCAACAAAATCAGTTTTTTTTACAAATAATTTCATACTTAAATACAGGCAAAATTATAAAGTGTTTTTGGAATATCAATTATTTTTGTACTATTTTTGTTAGTTTTACATATGAAAGCAATTGTACTCTAAATCGATCATTAAATATGTTTTTACAAACAATACTATATGTATCGAATCTCAAATCAACACAAAAGTGCGAAATTGTAAATCCACATTCACATAAAAAGTGAGATTTCAATTTTTTTTTCAGAAGACAAATTTTTTTTTGAATGTTTTTACGAACATGGTAACATCTACTTAGGTAGATTAAAAATATTAAATCAGTGAATGTGTTGAAAAAAACTGAAAAAATATGAGTTTAAAAATTGTTGGTATCTAGTTTTCCTTGTTTTAATTGTTTTTGTTGTATTTAGCGGATGATTACATTATTTTTGATCGAAAGATCGTTGTTCCTTTATCTTAAGGTCGAAATTGAAAGGTGTGGCCTTATCTTTTCAAGAATCATTTGGCAATATGTAAGGTTAGTCAGGAACAAATTTTAGCGTTAATTATAAGTCATTGGAAAAGTTAATATGTAGATTAAGTTAGAAATAAATATGAGAGATGATGTATGAATGATATTTTAATACTTGTGTCCAAAAAAATGTATATAGTTACCTAGTTAAATTATATTTTTTTGTAAACCGTGTTTTTTGTCGCGTTGACAAACAGTAAAGTGACCGGAAGGACTGCAAACGTGATAGTACTTAAAGTCTTAAATAGCTAAGTATTTTGTCTACACAATTTAGGAACATTCCTGAGAAATTCAATTTAAAATTTTAAGATGTATAAAAGATTTTTTTTTTGGAATAATTTAACTTAAATTTTCATAAAAAAATTTAATGTATTAGCGTATTAAAAAAAAGTCAAAAAATTGGTAAAGAATCGCTTTTTCTAGATTTCATATATGTTTAAGGCATACAAAATTTTGGTTTATGTTCCAAAACCCAAAAATGTCCTTAATTTTGAGTTCTAAGGGATGCTTCCAAACGATATTACTTTTAAAATTCAACTCATCAATAAGAACGGCGAAGTTGTATATTTTGCTTGATATTTGTGATTTTTTTTTATGCAAAAAAATAAAATATGTATAATTTTGCAAGTTGAAAACGATTCCAGGATATTTCCATAATATAAACGTAATGAGATAGAAATTGGCGAGGGCAATGAATGTGGAATATTTTTAAGGAGTGCGTGTAATCGGAGCCGATATTGTTTTGAATCCGAGGACTGTACAAAACAATATAGAGAATCTTTTACACTAACAATTGTTTTATTTCATCTTCCACCCTCGACAGAAGTCAAAGAAACTTCAATTTTAATAACTTAAAAACCAAAATAAAACCTTGATCACTGATCTCTATAAGAGAAACATAGACATGGTATTTTGATTTTCGCCATTTTGGAGCTTGGAACAAAAAACATTTGTTACCAACAAAATAAAATCAAAACCTTACGAATTTTTCTCCAAACTAGTTAGTAATTTTTTTTAAATTAGTCCATCTCATTGGCAGTCGATTTAATGGTTAAAAAGTACTTCGGAAGTAGGCAAAAATTGGGCATGTTTTGGTGCAGTGTGTCAATGGAAGGTTCCGTAAGGAATCATGCGTAAATTTCAGTGCCTTTGGAACAAGACACTAGTTATTATGCATTTTTGGAGAACTAATAATGCGACCGTGTTTTTAAAAAAATCTGCACACCAAGTTCCATATTGATTTTTAAAGTATTTTAATGGATATAATTTTAAAAATATTGAAACAAAATGGTCCTTTAACTTGCATTTTCTAATTTCGTCAGATAACTGATGTTTTTATATAAAAAAATAATAAGTGTTTGTTGGTTTTTATAAATCTGAAGAAAAAATTACGTTATCTATGATAGTTTTTTTTAATGAATTTTTGAAGATGTATTTTTAAATAATTTTTGAAAAAAAAATCTTAAGACCATGATTACTCAAAAATGACTAACTTTTGTATAATGCAAATAGGCTTCAAAATGAACCCTTCTATCATCTCTTAGCGGAAATATGTTGAATTACCAATAACCCTGTATAAATTTAAAAAAGGATGTGTCAAATAAAAGACTCGTTTATTCTTAACATTTTTAATTACTGTGGAAAACCTCCACAATTGCACTAACATTCAAACTGCGATCAACATGAATAATTTAGTCATACATAAATTATAAAAAAAACCATATGGCTACATTGCAAGACGTTTCACATCATATGATATTAAAAAAAAAACAATATCTGTTTGTTACATTTGTGTAAAAATAAAATCATGATTTAATAAAGTCATATAAATACGATCCATATAGTTTTTTCCATAGATTTATAACCTGGAGTACAATAGCAAGAAGAAAAAAGGCTTGAGGTTAATTTTCTTAGTGTTGTCATTTAAAATACTAAATGACATTACCAAATTCGACTCTCAAACGTCAAAATTGTATAAAACATGGGGTGTTTATAGGTTATATATCTATGGATATCCGATTACAAATTGAGCAGAGACCAAAAGCGGCATCAGTCCTAAGCTTTTAATAAAAACTTATTTTTTTGCTGTCCGTTTGCATCAATACAGAACTTTTTTTTTAATTTACAGAAGCTGTTACATATCTCTCAAAACATATTTAGATAATCGTTTACATTCACACTTACAAAATAAGCTCTCACCACCGTATATTAATGGATTACCCATTTATTGATTTCAAAACTATCTATTTCTCCTTTATCGACAGTTTTTCCTAAAGTGATTGTTTATTGCAAATTAAAAATTATTAGTGTTCATAAAAATCGTTTATAAACAGCCTCCATTTTAAAATCGAAGTACAAACTAAATATAGATAAATGTTCTATCGCGGAATAGAAAGGATTAAAATAAAGTGCAACTACTTTTTCACTAAGAATGTGATTGAACTATCTAACTTATGAATTATTGCAACACTGACGTACAGCGCACGTCACTAGCGATTATTCCTCATACGCTACAAAATGCTCGCCACTTACAGGCATTTACTACTTACAACTATAAATTATTTTCATCACATTTTTAAGTATAACAAACTTGATGATCTAAATTTTTTGTGTTAAGAAAATTGAACAAAAGGAAATGTTCATAAAACTATAGTCAAATTCGAATTAGTCCAGTTTTTTTCTGGTCGCAACATTTTTACTTACAAAAATTTCAGCCGGAAAATAAATATATAAAATATTGAATGTGTGTACGTTTGTATTTCGTATTTCCACACGGTGGGTTTAATTATGCATACAATGAACAAGACCTTAATAATACGTAAAATCTATTAAATTAGACGATACTGGATTTATTTTAGACAAAAAAAAAATCACCAATTTTTTTGTCAAACATACAAAAATTTTGAATCGGAAAGTTCATCTTCGTGTGCATGTAAAATACGAAAGTATAGAAAAAACTACATCAGTGATAAAATATTGTACTTTTCTGTCTAAATTGAATAGAGAAATTAAAGATAAGAATATTGTGTTTTATTTAGAGTGAAGAAATACATGTAAATGTATAATTTTATTGCGCCTAAAATCTAAGTCTATTTGTGATAAACCTTCAAAAGTCAGTAACAATGTTATAAAAACATTTACGTTATTAACTCATAATTCGTCTAACAATAAAATTGTTAACAATGTTTTGGTATTTATCAAAATTTCACCTACACTAGATGTAAAAACTATTGCTTTTATTAATGTTTTTTTAGCTTTACCAAAATGTTTTTTCAACATTAAATGAATTTTTTTAAACTTTATTTTCCGTATAATAGATATTAATACTTATTTTACATTTTTATAATACTTTTCGAACACATTTTTCAGATTTTTATTATTCTATTTTATTTGAAATTTTTACTATCAAATGAAGCTATGTAATGAGTTGTTTTACCGTTTTTAATTAAATTTGGACGTATTTTAACATTGGTAAGCATTTATTTTAGGTATTTTGTCGCTGGCGCTTAAAATTTTCAAAGTTACAAAATAAAAACGTGAACTCACACCAGTATTTAAATTTAATTTTATTTACTTTGATTGTAAAATACCCTATTGATTATTGTTAATGTTATTTTAACAGTTTTTGCTTAAAATTGTTGTTATTTTTTAGTGTAAAGTGAACCCTATTTGCGCAATGTGAGGACGGTCACCGAACAAATGTATTTTATCAAAACATGATTTATCTAAATGAAATGCGTCTTATCTCTAAATTCTCGATATACATTTAAATTTAGTCAACATATTGATAGCACACTTGAATTATTAATACAATGGTATCAATGGCTTTATATAAAATTTGTATTTCAATGGATATGAAGAATGATTATCTATGGA